TTTACCTCTATATATATGTTGTAGTTCAGGTTCAAAATATTTTTGAACCAGTTTAATCTAATTTGTTCCAGTACAAGACTTCTTGAAAATTGATTTGTACTAGCTTGAGTTATATTGGACTGGCCCAAAATAAACTGAACCAGTTCAGAAGAAACTGAACTGGTTCAAAATCATTTTGAACCTGAACTACAACATATACAAGAGACGGAAATTAATTATCATGGTGCCTAATGTCTACCTATTAATGATAAATAAATTTAAATTTTGTACCTAATTGGTCCATTGTGGGGCTTGAATGTCCATAATGTGACATTAAAACTGTCTTTAAGATTCATAGGAGCTCTAAATTGTGGTGCACGAGGTTCTGCGGATCGAAAATGAAGCAACTTTAATTAATCAATTAATATCGAGTTAGGAAGTTAGGATCATATAAAACACAAATATGACCTAGTACATACTGTCCACTTTTGTTTCCTCTGTTACTGTTAAACTCCTGTTGCTTTCACCACAAACTGTCAACGCTATTACCCAAAATTCATAGTATGTCCCTGGCTGCAAGTCACCAATCTTAAGTGTTGTTTGTTTACCATCTTGGGTTTTAGTTTTAAGTGGGGAACTGTAGACAGGCCAGTACGACTTTGAACCCTTGAAATAAATCTTGAAAGAACACGAGCTTTTTATGGAATGAAATCAACTGTGATAATCATCAAAACAGCAGCAAAAGCAACATTATATTACTGAACAATTAGAACATATTTTTAAATTTATTTATGCTACTTTTTTACTGKTCAACCACTAATGATGACCTAYCTTTATCATGAATGYGTTTTTATGTGAAGGGTCTTAAAATGACGGGCAAATATTAAAAAATATATAAATATCCTTAAATTGTAAATTTGTGCTGTCTATATCATTCAGTGTACCAAATATGATTACGATATTGTGCATAGTTGTGCAATTCTCTTTACATTGTACGTTTGTTGTGCTGTCATATCATTCTAGCAAGTATCATTCCAAAAAATCTACAATATTTCGAAAATAAGAACGCTGAAAAAGAAATTCGTAATACAATTGATAAGCCGCGTATTTCAAATRAAACATACATCAAAAAAATCAAAGCCAGTGGAAAATGTTAACTCTTATTTTGCAGATAAGCGTGTATATCGTTCATAATAAAGATAATGTAACCTTTTCAAATTGCTTTTTTTTCGTAAGTGTGTTTTGCAAATGTTGGCCATACCTTGTAGCTTTTAACCRTTGTTATCATGGCTTTTGGCTTCCTCCATGACAAGGTAATAAATGCTTTACCTARTCCACGTGACTCTAAATTGTGAGGTGCACCTGGTTCTAAAAGAAATATAGCCCACAGCCCATGTAAAGGAAAAACTCAATTTTTGAAA